AAATTATTTTATAAACTTGTTGCTCCATCATTAAGAGCTAGGTGGGCCCAAAAATTGGGGGTTTTTTGTCCACAAGCTCCAATCACCACAACTCTTTGCAAAACATTCTCATTTGACATAAGCATGAACATACAAAAGTTTAGAGTTTGCACAATGCCTGTAAGCATCAAAACTCAAACATCTAAAAATCCAGTGTACATCACTGAACTTGGTTTTTTTAGGTATAATTTTTATACACAATTCTGGTTTTAGTTTAATAGAAAACTTTGGCAAAAACAAAAAATAAAATTTATCTTTTATTATAACAAAAACTTGGCTGATAAAAAGATTAAAATAACATAAGACTTGTAAACATTTTTAATGCAATTAATCAGTCCAATCTGTAATGAATAAAAAATCAGTGTTTTATAACTGACAAAAAAAGTTAATTTTTAAAACTAAGCTCAATCCTACAAGACCGATTCCTACAAAATTTAGCATGTGTTCACACTCACAAACACTAATTTTAATTGCTGTCACTTTTTTTAATAAATTTTTGTTAAACTATTAAAATTGTCTATGAAAAACACATGCTAAATCTTGTAGGATCTTGTAACAACAATTACAATTAGTGTTTAAGAGTGTAAACACATGCTAAATCTTGTAGGATCTTGTAACAACAATTAAAATTAGTGTTTGTGAGTGTGAACACATGCTAAATCTTGTAGGAGTCGGTCTTGTAGGATTGAGCTTAATTTTAAAAACTAACTTTTTTTTATCAGTTATAAAACACTGATTTTTTATTCATTACAGATTGGACTGATTAAATTGCATTAAAAATATATGAAGAAAAGAAATAGAAATTAAAAGGTTTATTGGATTGGTTTTTATTATTTAGAAGAAATCTACAGTGAATAAAAATTTACAACAATATTTGTCAAACTATAAAAATTCTATAGCAAATGAGATATCTATAACAAAATATAAAGGACCTAAACCATATCTCCAAACTAAGGAGTGTAAAAGCAACTAGGCTAGATTGAAATAGGCATGTATATATTATTTTACTATATATACTAATATATTCACATTTACTATGTATAAACTCATAATACAATATATGTATACACCCATATACAATAAGTTTGTTAATAATGAAAACCTGAATAATTAATTTATTCAGGTTTCATTATTAATAAATATATTGAATAAATATAATGAAAAATTTGTAAAAAAATAGGAACCATTTTAATTTAGAGATTTTTTATAAAAAATTTTCAAAATTTCTTTCAGCTTTGTCAACTGAAATTGTAATTAGCACAAGTACTTTGATCTGATATACTCTTCGAAAAAAACTTTTAGTAAATATTCAATCTTGCTATTCATATGAAAATATTCAATCTTGCTATTTATATGAAAATTAAACATTTGCAGCATTCTTAAACAATAAAAAAGTTTTTACAATTTTACATTCAATGACTCTATTAATATACAGCAACAGTATAAAATTATAAAATTACTATTAGCCATTATAAATAAAAGTAAAAACATACTGTTAGTCATTTCTTTAATACCCAAAATCAAATGCGCAGCCATCCGTATATAATCATCCTTAAAAAAAATTTCATTCAGTTTATAAAAATGTTTAAGTTTATAGATTAATTTTTTTATATGCTAATGAAGTAAATATACTCTAGACTGAGCTTTTTCCATAATTGAAACCTCCAATTCATGACTTGTTTTGCCAATTGGATTCCCAAAATTTTTGTAGGTGTCTTCACTATAAAAATTTTAATACTTAAGTAGTTTTTGAATATATATTAAATTAAAGTCATACAAAATTTTACTCAACATCATAAATATTTTTGAAACTTTACATATACCAAAAATATCTGTTTATTATAATATAGTTGTTTTTACTTTTTAAATATCTTTTTAACATAGTATTGAAAATAATGTATAATGAAATTAGAAAATAATAACTAGTTAAATAAAGCAAAGTATATATGTATATAATAAATATTGAACATTTTAATAAAATAAATATCCATTAAGAGCAAGAACATCATATTTTCTTGATGCCATGTTTTGACAATATTTACTTGATGGTAAATCACTGTGCATAAAAATATTAAACTTTCTAATTAAAAACCACCAAGACAAATTGTTATTCAAAATTTCCAAATCACTCACAGAGTTGACAGCCTCATATGATGTAAAAGGAGTAAAGCAGCATAACGGTAGTGATTGCACCCCAAACCTGGGTGCAATCACTACTGTTAAAAAAAACTGCTGAACATTGCTTAGCAGAAAGTGCAGCATATCAGGGATTAAAAATTAGTTGTAGCTGCTTTAACATTTCACCCTACCCTGCAATATATCTGGTGTTAATTTTCTTTTTTTAACTTTAACCATATCTTTGAGTTGTTTATATGCACTTGTTCAGCTACTGTTTTGTTGCTCTTAGAGATAATGAAACCAGGAGTATATTTATCCTGAAGGACTTAGAAACTTTATGCTGATTTTATTACTCATTGCACATTTCTACAAATAAATGAATGCATAATGCATGAATGCTGATGTGCAATTTGCAGTATTTTACTGTTTAATCATAAAATAAAATTGATACAGATACTACACGCTATTAATCCAATAAAGATGATAATCCTGAAGGTAGTAATATTACTATGAATATAAATTAACTAATAATATGATCCATAGCTCTATTGCACAATACAATCTCAACCCCTCCCCCATATACACACACAAACAAACATTTTCTTTTTATTCCTAAAAACTCATTCTCATCACAATCTTATCATTACTTTTAATATTATAACCAATATTATTTTAATTGTTGCTTTTGATGTTTCTATTAGTATTGTCCTTATACTAACAATGTTACTGCTGCTGTTGTTGTTATTGTTGCTATTGTTGTAGCTGTTATTGTATTTTCATTATATTAATATTGCTATAAATATTACTAATAGTGTTCCTTTTTTTACTTTTGTTAATATTATGATTACTACTAAGTATTATTATTGTTTTTATTATTGCTATAATTATTATGATTTTTATTTAGTCTTTTTATCATTATCAGTTAACATCACTGTTAACTGTTTATTACTGTTATTGATACTATTATTGTTATTATAGAAGTTCATTAGACTTATTTTAAAATTTTATACATTTTATTAAAAGCTCAAAGAGTCATTGTAGGTTGTCACATTTTTTCAAGTTTAAAATATGTAAATTTTAAATACTTTACTAAGGTTTTGGCTAAATTATAATTTTAGACAATCTGATTTTTACAATTACTAACTGGAATCTAAATATGACATACATTTGCTGAATAATCATTTGCCTTAAATCTTGAGACATCCATTCTTGGGTAGCCATTACATCTGTTTATGAAGATTCATGTAAAACAGTAGATATTTCTTAAATACTTATGGTATGATCTAAAAGATATATATATATATATATATATATATATATATATATATATATATATATATATATATATATATATATATATATATGTATATATATATATATATATATATGTATATATAGGTTGAAACTTATTAAACTTAATGTTGCTGCGCTCTCTTACGTAAAAAAGAGTATTCTGGTCACCCTATGTATATACATATATATTATACATATATGTATATTATATATAATATATATGTATATACGCCAAAAAACTTAATTAGCGAGTATTTTTTTAAAACATTAAGTTAATTGCTAATTAACTTAATGTTTTAAAACGCTAATTAAGTTTCCCAATGCGCCTGCAATCCATAAACACTCCACCAACGAGCATGTTTCATGTGATGAGCGCGATCTCTCCCGATTCATGCCAAGGCCTGATATATATAAATATATATATATATATATATATATATATATATATATATATATATATATATATATATATATATATATATATATATATATGTATATATATATATATATATATATATATATATATATATATATATATATATATATATATATATATATATATATATATATATATATATAAATTTATAAACTATTCTGAAATTACAACAAATTTTTGAATACTGAATGAATGATAAAAGTTTAAACAAAATTGATTTTCTTGTTAAAAAAGACAACTGAAAGAGTATTACCATTGAAATGTTAAAAATATAATAAAAAACCTTTCTAATACCTTTTTTTATCCTTTAAATATCTTTAAATAATATAGAAAAATTTTAATTAGTCAATTCATATATTACTTTATATTCTTTATGACAGTGTCTTTTTTTTGTTAAAAAAAAAAAACATTAAAAGATTAAAAAAAATTAAAACATCAAATAACCTATGAAATTTAAAGTTCTTTACTTTTCTCAAACAACAAATTAATCAAATTTAAACAATAATTAAATAATAAATTAAAAAGTTAGTTTTTAAACTTTTGTGTTTACTTTTGTGTTTATTTTAGTCTTTAAACTTTTTCATTTACTTTTGTGTTTATTTTACATTTTCTAGAACAATCCTTTTGGATTGTCCTAAATGTATTTTGCAAAAAACTCACTTTTTTGTTTTCATGCATGTGTAACTTCACTTTCTTTTTAACTATTTCATCCTTTGTCAACTCATGCTTTTTTGATTATCTAAGTTCCTCAGAGATAACTACAGATTCTGTTTTAAGTCTTAAACTTTTAAAGTACTATACAATTTCTTTCTTCTACCAACCTTTCATTGCATATAATTACTTGGTAAAAGCATTTTACATTTTTCATATTAAAAAGAAGATTTTTCCATATTTAATTCATCAGTCATTGACATTTACATATCAATGACTGCAGAAAAAATATACAACTATAGCTGAAATTGTAAATATCTTTTTGAGCTTACTTTACTATCCTTATGAGCTCACTTTAATATCCTTTATAACATTTATTTAAAATAGTTTTTTCTTTTCTAATATTCAACTAGCTGAGACTGTTTTGTAGTTTTAAATCAATCAAAAACATCATTAATGAACT